AGGGTTAGGTTAGACTCTCAATGATTCAATGTTTCTCGTGCAGCGGAGAAAATATTTGATTATGAAGTGCGATTTATTTTATTCGTCCAATAATATAGTAGAGTTAGGTTAGGGTTAGGTTAAAATATTTAGGATAGGCTGGGTTAGATTAGGATGGGTTAGATTAATGTTTGAATTAGATTTAGGTTAGAATTACGGATTGTTAACGTTAATTAGGGTTAGGGTTAGGTTATATATCCATGATTCAATATTTTTCCGTGAAGCGGAGAAAACATTCGAGGGGAAAGCGCGATGTTTTTTTTCCATCAAATTATATAATTAGGCTAGGATTAGGTCGGATTTGATTATGGTTTGTTGTAGGGTTGGGACGGATTAGGTTTAGGTCTGCTTTGCGTTAGGTGCGAGTTAGGTGTTTATTTTTTTATTACGACGTTTGTTTTTACCACGTGTGTTGAGTAATTATACATTGGGTTTATGTAGTTTTTTGGTTTATGTCGTGTTCTTGTATGATTGTGTATTATTTGCATATTTTGTCTATGTTACAACTGTGTGACCTGTGTATTATTTGCATATTTTGTCTATGTTACAACTGTGTGACCGACTTAGTGCCCTTCTTCGTGTTTTTTTTTCGTTTTGTTTATTTATTTTTTGAGTTTTAACGTCGTGCTTGTGATAGAGGTGACGCATCCCATGATCTAAAAGAGACTTAACTCCACAAAAATCAAGCAGACTCACGGAAGGTTACTAGAAAACAGGTATTTGGTATTCCCCAAGCAGTGCAGCATTTTGTGCTTTTCCTAGTTTCTTAATTCAGTTCAGTTGACTCGATTCTTATAGGTAGTGACTGTCATTGCTGAAATTCTTTTTCCCGGGTCTCTTTGGCGCCTTAGAACCATCAGATAGATATGACAGTTTCTTCCTCCTAATTGCATAACCATTAAATGGGGGTCATCAAGGATTTTAGGAATTTTAATATTCGCAGATAACATATAAAACCTGATCACTTTTTCATAAGGTTTCTATCGCAATAAGCCGCAAAAATTTGTTGTCAAAAGGATTGCGCATCCTGATTAATACAATTTCTCGGCCTTTTTGTTTTCATTCTGTCAGCAGGTTGAAATGCGTTTAACACCCACAATGTCTTCCTCTTTTCAGATTTGTACGCCTACTGCTCGCTCATTATCTTCTTGTTCCTCTTTTGTCCACTCGACAACCGTTACGTTAGGTGTCTACTTGTCTATCGTTTTATTCAAACCTAGAGGATACTACTTACAGTTTTTTTTTAAATGATGTCTTGTTTTCTAGTGAATTCTCATATAAAAGTTGATTTTTTCAGTGTTTTGGAATTAAAAAAGCCAAGTAATTTCGTGTGTAAAATGTAACATCATTGGGCTTAACAGAAAAACAATGAATCATAGATGTGTATCCTAACCCTAAACCTAACCCAATCCGGCAAATACGTAAGTGCAGCTCGATGTTCCCAGTGCATTGCAAATCGAATTTACGTAATGTTACACTTTCCTTCTTTCTGCTAACTTTGAGAATGTAATGATATTAGGGTAATGACTTTTTTTCACAGGCCTATGAAACAGGGCTAATACAAGCTAACGTCATTCCCGATGATTCAGTGCACGGGTTGAGCAATGCTCAGACTCTTTCTGACATAGAACAGAAATTACGGTCAGAAACTAGCACAAAACTTTTGTTATTAGTAATTACAATAGTAAAACAATGTCTTTTGATTTGGATCTTTGGATGCGTTGGAGGTAGAATGCTTGGTCGGCCCTTAAAGTTCGATACCAATAGTCCACAAGGTTTATCATCATGGTAGAACAACTTGTTGTACTTTACTTGAATTTTCGATTGTTTGACAAGTAGTTATGTAAGTAGTAGTAGACTAGATGTCCGGAATGTCAGGATTTGTCAGAGGACATAGCAAAAACAGGCAATTTCTGCAGAGACCGCCCAAAATCAAAGTTGACAAAATGATTTTAGAAAATAATTAGTAGTTCGTTGAATTATACGCAAATTTAACAAATACATTAGGTGTTATCAAGTGGAGTGAAAAGCCACAACCGTATTGCGCAGGTACATATTCAACTTGACTCGCCCAGTTTATACCCTTGACGACGCAATATCTGGCGTTAATATGTTCTAATGTATGGCACTTTCTCTGAAAGTGAATTCATCCTCGAAATCGAACGATGATATCGCCACCGTATTAAAAGCCGGCTGAAATTTGCATACAGACAATGGAAAATACATCTAACACAATTTTGTATTTTAAGCAAAGGTTTAAATTTTCCATTATAACTTATTTTATCAGTTTTTTGGCTTATTGTCGTAGCTCGTTAATTCAACTTTCTAAAAAAATACATAATTAATGAACGGCTGTGATCTTGGTCCCTTGGTTGGAAAAGAATCAGGTTCCAATTTATTCAAACCAAAAGTGGCGATTTTCGACTTTCTATACGATGGAAATGGAAACTCATCTTTCGTCCTGGAAAAATCCAGGGCAAATTTGCCAATATCCATTGAGAAGACGTTTAATTCTTTGGGGCCAATTAGGAGGACGGGTGTTTTTGAAGCGGATTTTGAGTAGCCCCGATGGGAGAGAAACTTGACCTTTTTTCTCCAGGTCTCAGGCGAAAACTCTAATAGGAAGAAATTGGTAACCTGGGGCTTTCTCTGTCATTTCTGGACGTCGCGTCGATACAAATTGCCAATCGGTCCTAATTCGTCGATTTTTTTAAAGTTTATTTTCGATAGATGATTCAGAATTGCGCTGACTCGTTTCATCTTTTCAACGCCAAACACTGAGAATCGTTATATCTGTCACTATTCATTTTCCTCTCTAGGGAGGGAATCACAAGGCTATTGGTGCTTTAGGCGTCTTATAAGATAACTGGAAGGGTTGGAGATGAGGGGTGGATTAGTGGTTGGGAGGGTTCAAGGGTTTTCTGGAATCTTCAGTATAGATTTCATTTCTAGCATAAATGTGATTTGAAGGACTATGTGGATAAGGTAACGTGGCAATAACTCGAATGATTTTGGACTAGTGAGACTGGATTCATTCGAGAAAACCTGGGTGAAACCAACGTTATATTATATGAGGGGAGCTGCATTGATAGCTGCAGTATTGGTAGCTGGGAGAGGAAAAGAATTGTGGTTGATGTTGATAGCAAGAGAGGTTACACGGTGAAAAGTGAAGGTTATTTTCTCGTATTTGCTTTCGTTTAGCCTGATCCTAAATTGATTGGACTAGTCTTTAAGAGAGTTGATCCTACAGGTTTCAAATGTCTCGTGTAAATACGTGAGGGTTACTAGGAAGTTGCGATGAGGGTCCAGGGTATTATAGAAGCGTCTGTATCGACTTTTATTGGCCTTGAGGACCGTGAACCTTAGGCAATGGTTCGAAGGATAGTGGACTGGAGTGACTTGAGTTTTCCAGTTCCATTCCGTCCATTTTGTACTAGCGATGTGTAACTGAAGCATTTGTTTTATTGTTGTTTCGATCTTTTTCCCAAGTAAAACTTTTGTAATTGTCAGCAGATATTGGTTGCTTGGAAAGGAAGAAAGTTGTATTAGGTGATTAGGATAAGTAGAAAGATGAAGATTATTTGCTTGCAATAACCTTGATTCTCTTCTTGAACCCTTCTTCCAAGCAGAACAGCTCCTGGAGAGTTCTCAAGTCCACTGGGTTTGCTAAAAAGATAGCGGTATTTGGATTCATAGAAATGTCTAAAAATGTATATTGAAAAGAGGAATGAGAGCTATGATGCTGCCTTGCCAACCCGCTTCGGCTTACTGGATTTTCCGATTCATACTTGATGGCACCTATCGGATAGACTCTAGTATGAGGTAATACGTAATAAGTAATAAGTAGTAATAAGTAATAGGTAATAAGTAAGTGTCAGAATACCCTTGATCTTCCAGAGCTCTAGTGGCTCGATATAAGGCCTCACGACTAAGAAATTATGTACTACCCTGCCATTGTTTAAAATGGATTGCGATGTAATACTTTGAAATGTCAAGTCTTTTGCCACTCCTATTGACATTAATCCCTCATTAATATTAAATATAAATTATAATGTCGAAATAAACATACGTCTGCACAGGGTGTATCAACTTTTATAGTTCACCCATTAATTTCGAAAACTGAGCAAAAAAGGGACTTATACAAATTCCAATTTAATTTTGGCTAGGAATCGCGTGGTGGTAAGAGATTTCACATAACTTTCCTATATTGCTGGGAAATGACACTAATTTTGTTATTTTAAATGAAGACCTTATTTTGAACTTTTACTGAAAGGAAACTTTTGAGAGGATCGGACATTTCTGAGATATGCCCGATTTTTTTTTTGCAAGCAAAAAATCTGTTCTCACTTGTTTTGTCCGAGTTATGGTATTATCTTCCATTTTGTTTTAGCTTTTTTATACCATAATAGACAAGACCATAACTCGGTCAAAGCAAATGAGAACATATTTTTTGCTTGCAAAAAAAAAACATCGATCATAACTCAGTAATGGTCGATCCTATCAAAATTTGCCTTTCAGTAAAAGTGGCATAAAATAAGCCCTAGAATCGAATTGTACAATAAAAATATGGGATTGTCATTTAAAATAACAAAGTTAGTGTCATTTCCCAGCAAGCTGAGAAAGTTATGTTAAATCTGTTACCACCACGCGATTCCTAGCCAAAATTAAATCGGGGTTTGTACAAGTCCCTTTTTTTGCTAAACTTAACCGTTTCCGAAATATATGGGTGAACTGTAGATGTTGATACACCCTGTACAGACGTATATTTCCTCAAGTAAAATATTACACGTGTCTTTGAAAAACAAAAACACTGAATTCGAAAGTTTATATAATCAAATACACAACATTTAACTTGTACGTAAGAATGGTATTGTAAAAGAAAAATAATAAAAAAACTGCTGGCCTCCTTGTGAAAATAGGTAATAAAAATAAAGGTTAAAAAATAAACAAATTTTTCTTACCTTTTTAATCTTCTTTTGAGTAATCCACTTTAGAACATAATCAAATCTGAAAACAAACCAGGAAGGTTAGTCAAGTTTAAAAAAAATTAATTAAACAATTATTATAATTTCAAAAAAGAAATGGATAATAGAGGAAAGCTGAGGATTTACGATCTAGATATATTTGGTCTCCGATGAAAAGAGAAAACGAAGGTCGGATTTTAGTAGGTCAACTAACAGGGATTCATAGGATAACAGGAAGGAACTGAAAAAACAAAAATTCCGTCTGGATTTTTATGGATGATTATCAACAACCAGAGGCCGTAGAAAAAACCGAAAACTATTGATTTTTGCCAATTACGATCTACTTTGGATTTCCATTCAACCGGCCGCCGGCGAAGTGAAACTCGATGGACTTTACTAAAACCTGTTGTCGGCATTTTGTAATTCGGCCGTTTCGTCAACAACATCCTATTCCATTGGTCAGGCCGTCTTACACACCAAATTATACGTTGGCGTTTCTACTTTTTTATGGCAATATATCCCCCCCCCCAAAAAAAATACCATAGTATAAACACAAAAAAATTTAAACAAGTAATTTTTGAATAAGCGATGAAAACTTAGTGGTTACTAGTACAAAAACAAGTTAAATATTAGTCTGAAGTTTGTTTCATAACGGACATGAAAAACAGCTTGATTTAAGTCTTTTTGCATAAGAAATAATTTATGGCAACTGAACTGCTTAGTGCTTACTACTCCCGTTTCATGTTACTTAGTAACCCGACTCTTCCTTGAGGAATCCGGTTTCTATTTCTAAACCCTAATACCAAAAGAAACAGGATTATTTAAATAGCAAAATGTTTTCAAATGTGTACTATTAATCATTCTCCTAGGCTGGAACAAAAGCGAATGAAAAAGTTCATTATTCCTAGTGAAATATATTTATAAAATTTAGATAATTGTAGCGTATAGTGGTGTTGTCGGTCTATGAGTCACTGACATTCCTAGGGTATTCCTAAAACCTACGAGAATAGATGGACGCAGTGGAGATCGGTGTCAATGTCGTATATCATATAAAGGTCAAAAACCTAAAATGAATAGTGCGGAAGGAAATCATCCTTCATTAATCGCAGCATAGCTTGAGGATCTAGTTTTGATCAAGCCTCTGTTAAGACTGGTCCTGGGTCCAAAACCTCATTAAAAAGCCGAATGGACTAGACAGAGAAACACGTTTACTTGACATCAATAACAAATATCCCAATATTATTAGTCAGCCAGCTCTTAAGACCTTCAAGTCTGCCGATTCCTAACTAGTCTGGAACTGCCTATATACTCTAAACAACTGGGATCCACAAGTAGGTAGTGAAACATAAGACAACCTAGCTAAAAAGGTACCCTCAAAAAATACATCCTAGCCCTAGAAACATGTCCATATGAAATCGACCCGAAGAGACATCTTAATTCAAGCCTACAACTCAAAACTAGCCTGGGACTGCCTATATAATCCTAAAAAACTCCGATTACCCAAAATACCTTACCTAATAAATTTTTCGTCTTCCAAATGCGTTTAATTTTTCAAATTTTTAAAACGGCCATAAATGAGAAAATATTCCACTGATGTACATGAAATGTTACAGGACTTTAAGTACTTACAAACTATAGATAATGGTATAAACATGACAACCACACATAAATCAGAATCGGAGATAGATTTCATTATTTCTCTCACGTATATGGAAATAAAAATTGTTGGCAATAGGCTCAAAGGTAGGAAATTCAGCTTCCAATTCTGCTAACATTTTATAATAAGAAATTACATGCAAAGGTATGAAGATCTGAATCAAAATATTGTGTAACTACGCAACGATTTCGTAGTGCTTCACTTTCCAGTGAACACATTTCTTCAACTGGACGCTTTTTGCCCTATAGTTTACTCAGGTGACCGCAAATCACGATTTTTCAAAGGACATTCTCCTTCCAATTTGTAACAACTAAATGAAAAGCTGAGAAATCCTGAAAAAAAGTTGAATTAAAAAAATAAATACATGTGTGACAGATTTTACTTTTTAAACAAAGTAAAGAATTATTCTCAGTGTTATGGAGTACGTAATTGCTTAGTAATGGCTTTCCCAGGTACCATAGCCTCTTCCTAGTTTATTGCAGGGCTGTTGCATAAAATATGTTTCGGTGTCTCTGTCTACTCTAGTCATAGGTCATCTGAAGTTAGGACTTGCGTTTGGACCCATTGGGTAGTTTTTGCAACTCTGTTCGCCTCACGCCTGGCAGTTCCCTTTATTTGTTGTGTTACTTTTTATGTAACTTAGTGGTCATTATTGACCATATTAATTATTCTTTTTATCTATGGTTTTTGACTGAGATAAAAAATTAATGTCATGAGCGGGATTCGAACCCATTTTTGACATTTGAAAATATGGCAAAAAGAGGGAAAATTCGAACGGTTATAGGTTGAGATGGCGAGTTGGTGTCCGAGGGGATCGAAGACACGATAACTCAAGTGATTAGAGCAGTGGCGTATTCAGCCGAAGGTCGTTGGTTCGAATCCCGCTTGTGACACTAATTTTTCATCTCAGCCAAAAACCTTAGATAAAAAGAATAATTAATTGATCTAGTAATTATTTTCATTTATGATTTTATCCAAATTTTATCACTACCATAAAAATTCGTGTTCAAGGGTTTTAAAAGGTATTTAAAACGAATCCAAATTTTTTTTTTTTCAGAAAAGAATTTTGGCCTACTTTCCTGTGTCCGTATTTCGGTTTTTGTAACTTTTTATGTATCCGGTCTTATTTAATACAATCCTGCATATTTGTTTATGCATAGAGTTCTGCCTTTGTTGGGCATGCATTACAATGTTATATGTTACTCGAATTTTTTAAAATCTTTCTTCTTAAGAAAAAATTGCAGGATCATATTAAAAGAAAGTAGATATACATTGACAGGCAAAAAATTCCACCCAATTGATTTTTTTTCTCGATAAAAAAAATTCTGCCCTTAATTTCTCTCATTGTTTTTACCAATAAATATTTTTTATAATACGTTTTAAATTGGGAATACCAATTAGAGGTAAATACACTTAATCCTTAATCCAAAACAAGGGTAAAGTATTTTTCAAAGTTTACTTTTTACGGAATTTAAAATGTTTATTCAGTTTCATTTTTGAATTCTGACGCAATAAACTGTTCAGATTTCATTTTTGTTTTCTTAATTTCAATTTTTAAACTTAAAAATGCCACTTAGTCCTGAGGATGTTGCGCGTGGTGTGGCTCTTACTGATGATGGACGTTCCATCGCCATCGGAGTTCCCTACGAAATTCTGCAAGACGCCGTTAGACGTTTTCGAGAAACTGGGTCCTACCGTAGAATGCCCGGTTCTGGACGCCCTAGGGTATAAGAGCCACAGGATGACCGGTTTTTGACTTTGAAAATTTTGCGAAACCGGCACCTTACTGTTGTTCCAGTGATTCATCAGCTGTAGGAAGTTCGAGGTGTCCAAATTTCTGAACGCACTGATCGAAGAAGAAGAAATCAGTATGGACTGATGGCTTGTCGCCACCAAAATTAACCAGAACATACGGAGTTGCACGGCTCGCATTTGCTCGAGAACACAGCGATTGGTCTGCTGTACCTTTTACAGATGAGTGTAGATTTGCCCTACGATCTCCTGATGGACGTGAAACATTGTGAAGAAGGCAACATGTAACGTACGACGCCTGTTATTTTTCAACATAGCTCAGTGATGATGTACGAGGGAATTTCAAAAGAGCCGCTCAGAGTTGATTGTTGTTCGTGGAAGGTCTTTGACGGTCACTCGCTATGTGGATTAAAATTTGGACCATCATGCTTTGCCTATCCCAGATGAAATCAACGATAATCCTATTCTAATTCACGATAACACCCGTCCACGTGTCGCTCGCATAGTACAAACCTTCAGCAGCATAACATCAGGGTGGCCAGACCGTTCCACAAACTTCAACCCCATCGAACATTTCTGGGATAACCTCAAAAGACGAATAAGAGCAAGTCCATCCCCCCTGATACACTTCACGATCTCGAAAGGACTCTTCGTCAAGAATGGGCTAACCTCCAAGAGACATTTCCAGACTGGTAGAAAGTATGTCGAGGCGTCTTCGAGATGTAATTAAGACAAGAGGAGGAAATACGCGATATTGACGTATTAATTAAAAATCTAATTAAAACCAATTTTTATCTTCCTTTTTTCATTTTCCTTAGGAATTTACAGTTTTTTACTTTTTTAGACCAAGACTCAATTAATAAACGTTAATAAACGTGAAACTTTGATTAATATATAAAAATATACAAATCAGGTTATATTACAAGTGGGTGAATTTTTGCCCGCCAGTGCATAATAATCTTGAAATACATGCATAACGTAGGTAGAAAACATATCGTCACGGACGCTGTGACATGTGTATAATATTCTTCGACCTATTATCAACGGGGGAAAAAAAGATTTCATTGAAATCCCACGTCCTTAGCCTCCCATTGTAAGAAGGTATTTTGCACTTTATGACTGTTTCAGATGGAAGGACTTGACTTTCTACACAACAGTCGATAGAGAGAGTTTTGAAAAGAAGAATAGCTCGCTTTTATGAACTGTAATGAAGCAATGGTGCACCAAGAAGACAACGCTCCTGGACATCCCTTTGAGCTGTTTACACACTTTATTTTCCATAATGTCTAGTGAATTGAACAGTTTTACATTCAAAGACACGAAACGCTTACGTGCAGTCTATAAAATTTTACCCATACATTCCGGATTTTTTCTAGCATCTCCGGAGGTCTTCATAGGAGAGAAATCCTTTTCGCCATGGATACTTCACATCTCCGGTGATGTGCTGCGAACTCAGTTGGCGTTTGTGATAAAGTGGCTGTTCAGCTATTCGAAATACTTTAGCATACTTTACACATTTTACTATGAGGGAGAAAGCCCGGTCGCTTGAATATCATAGAAATAGTTTATGAAATGGATAATCTAAGACAAAATACAAATCCAAGGCCGGTTTGTGTCCATGTGACAATAATCCT